GTAGGGAAATGAAGAGCTTTACTGAATAAAATGTTCTACTATTTATAAAAAAGCCCAATACTGTGAATAACTCTTCCAGATCAACAGGTTCCTAGACACTGATTTTTGAAAAAGATGTTTTTCAAACTCAGAATTAGTACTGAAAAGATGACTGAGAAATATAAAGGTATTGAGAAAGTACTGGGTCTCATCAGAGCAGACTTAAGTAACCCAGTCAATCTTAACAAAGTCGTCACACTCATGGCCAGGCAAGAATTTTGTTGGTCTCTGAAGGGTGGAAAAAAAGCAACCATCAAACCAGATGCGTTCCTTGATTTTCCAGGTAATATAGCTTTAGGAAAAAAAACAACAATTCCAATACCACAAGTTTAAACTTACTCTATTAGCTCTAATGTTTTAAAATAATTCCAAACACTAAAACAATGTTTAACCTAATAAGCATTCTACTGTCCCCATCCCACCCCCATAGGATTTTGTATTTTAAATGTTTTACAAAAAATATGTTTTAACTTTCAGGCAAATTCTTATTTTGTTATACAACCCAAAATGTTAAACTACCTGTACATTACCATTTTAACAAGTCACCTGTTAGTCTTTATGTGCAGTGTTCACAAATTTTTACTCCATATTTTAAAAGTGTAGTTAACATACTTTAGACACATATTGCTGCATACTCTTTGTAATCTTATTTGGTATAATCATGTTCAAAGTTATTTCTGTATAATTACAGTGACTTAAAGTGAACAACCCACTCCCTCCTCCCCTGTACTCAAAATTAAAAATAAAAAGGAATACTGCAAAAAATAGACAGGATTAGGTTCTAAGACAAAAGGAAACCCTAATCATTCAAGTGTGGGGATGCAGATGTTAAGCTTTCTGCATCCATTCTCTATGCTACAGAACAGACCTTGACTCTGTAGCCAAGTATTTGTAAAACCTTTCAAGAAGCTCCTGTGGATTTCTGGATTTGTTCCTTTAAAATCAGAATACTCTGCCTTTGCTCAGGAGGCAGCATGGCAATCTGATCTGCGGTCAGCTGAAGAACCTGCATGATCAAAGCTGCCTTTTCTTGATCCTGTGGAGTTACCTGGCTCTGCCCAGGACTAAAACTGCTAGGTTGACCTCCAGCTTGCTTGCTTGCCCCCTGCATGCCTGTTCCTTGTATGCTCACTCCTTGCATGCCTGCCCCCTGCATTCCTCCTTGCATCCCTCCTCCCTGCATACCTGCCCCTTGCATTCCTCCTTGTATTCCTGCTCCCTGCATACCGGTGCCTGGCATTCCTGCACCCTGCATGCCTGCTCCCTGCATTCCGGCTCCTTGCATGCCTGCCCCCTGCATGCCAGCTCCAGGATTCCCCACCCCTGAAATGCTTGGGACCTGTCTGTGTCCCTGTGGGCCACCTGCTCCCATACTAATGGGCCCAGGACCCTGGATTCCTCCAGCCATGGGGCCTCTTGAACTGGGGCCAGGGCCCCTCATCTCCAGTCCTCTTGCATCCATGCCTCTTGCTTCCATCCCTCTGGTTTCCATTGCACAAGGTTCCATTCCTCTTCGCTCCATTACTCGCGTCTCTAAGACCTCAGTTTCCATAGCTCGAGCCTCCATCGCTCGAGAATCTCTGCTCCCTCTACCATCCATCGGTAGACCCCTCTGATCTATCATGGGCCCTCTGGGTTCTCCAAGTAGCAGTCTGGGATCTGTTATTGGCCCTCCTCTCATCTCATGTGAGGAAGGGCCCCGGCTATCATGACCAGAGGCGTGGTGCATGGGCGGGCCCTGATGTGGTGGGCCCAGGTAACCTCTGGGCTCTACTTCTCCAGTGACTGAAAGCAAAGTCCCTCCACGTGGATCATTTGGAGCATCTCCTAGCAGTCCTCGAGGAGGCAGGCCACCAGCAGTCATGGGTCCACGAGGCATAGGAGCTCTGGGATCTGACATCTGCACTTGTGCCCGTTCTAAAGGCACCGGTCCAACCCCAGCCATTCCAACCTGGGGCTGCATTGCTCCTCCAGGAGTTAGGGAACCAGGACCAGGTCCAGGAACTGCAGCTGGAATTGGCCCTGGAGCTGGAATTCCACCCTGGATAGGAGTCTGCATCAAAGGAGGAATGTCCTTCACAGGTCTTCTAGCCAAATGCTGAGGCTGAGGGGCTGGAGGATTCTGCTGGTTCATCAGAACATTAGGTCCTGGGCAAAGCCCAGGGCCAGGGCCAGGGCCAGGACCAGGGCCAGGGCCAGGGCCAGGACCAGGGCCAGGGCCAGGGCCAGGGCCAGGGCCAGAGACAGGCTGAGATTTGCCTGGGATGAGTGGCGTAACATGTATCTTGCGATGCAGAATTTTCAGAGCAATCTCTGGATCCATGATTCTCATTACTACTTGTGCCTGCAACAGCGCATAAGCCAGTTGCGGGTTCTGAAGTAACATATTTCGAGCTTCTTGGTGACTGTTTTGGACACAGAGCTTCATCTGTTTCATCAGCTCAAACATCTGCTCGGGAGGAAGACTGGCGACTGCTCTGGTAATCGATTCAGGGGCGTCTTCCGGATCGATTGGGTCCCCATAGGGTGAGTCAATAATGGGCGCCGCAGGCCCTAGACTCTTCAACTCCTCCTTGTTCTTTTCACTGGCTGCATTGTCCACCCGAAGCGCTCTCCCACTGAACTCCCGCCCATTGAGGTTACGCATGGCACTGAGCGCAGTCTCCTGGTCTTGGTACTCGCAGAAGCCATAACCCTTGGGTTTCCCCGTCTCTCTATCGTATACCAGCCGGAAACTGACAACAGAACCAACCTCTGAGAAAATGTCCTTTAACTGCTCCTCAGTTGCCTCATAGGGAATGTTCCCCACGAACACAGAACGGAGTGATCGATCCATTGCCGGGTCTCTCACCGCCAAACTCGACATGATTCCGGCGGTGCGAACAGCGGATAGCCGATTCCTCCCAAAGCCGTCCTTGCGACTCACACTTCCGCCGGGCAACGGAAGCTGCTCTCAAAAATCCGGACGGAAACCTTTGTCGTTCACTTGAATCGTTCCCCCAGGCCGCGAAACCTGCGTCTTTATGTCCCACTAACAAATTTAACTAATGCTTTCCGTCCCTAATCTTTCATGGTTCTGTTAGCGCCTTTTTACTGAGACGCATTATTCCTTTCCCTTCTCGTATTCTGCAGACTTTCGCCCCTACACTCTCACTGCGACAGGCTTGGCGCCAATTTACCATAGTAAAGATGGCCGTCCCGGCTTCACCATGGCAACTGAGAAGGTCCGCCTTCCTTGACGTCAAGGGCAGTTGCGCTTCCGTTCTACCGGCGGGAAACCGCCAACCGAAAGCTGGTTTAGGGCTGCGTTTGTTTCGTTTGTTTTAAGATAGCGATTTCTATTGTATTATATTTAAGCTGTATTTATCACAGTCTAGACAACGAGACCAGAATGTACACAGCATAGCACGGAATTTATATTTACATCCTTGAAATACAAAAGAAATAGCTCTTTTTTAGAAAAAAACAACGTTTGGATATTAAAGGGCTAGCAATATAAACTGAAGCATTTGCTAGCTGCATCCCCGCCCCCACCCTGTCGCTTTGTGTAGCCGCTGTTGATAGGTGGCCCATATTTCTAGGCTTTTATCTGTGTACATTGGTAGCGTTTGTGCTATTAATAATATTACGGGCTTTTTTCTTAATAATACTACGTGATTTTAATATTAATTAATGATTAATAATGAGTAGCATTTTCTGGCCACAGAATATGGATTAAATTTACTTGATCATTTTTATATTGTGAGCATTTAGATTCATTCTGATTTCTCTTAAAAATTACAAGACAATGATTCCATCACCTTTATTATGGAGAAAGGATTGTGGTAGAGTTATTTCTCTGCTGCTGATAGTTTTGCAAGCAGAAATCAAAACACATTTTGAGGTTGATTAGTAGCAACTTAAGACCTGCTGTTCTACCACATACCCAGCCTATTTGACATTAGAGCTGAAGCTCCTCCAGAGGACTAAATTGTCCAAGTCAAGCGTCTTGTGAAAGGCAAAGTCAAGTTGTTCTGGCTTAGCTGTGGGGAGAAACTGCCCTACATTAGCCACTGGCAACGTACTGAATACTATAATCGTAGCTAGTGTGGGGACTAGCAGATGGCATAATGGTTGCATTGCTGGACTCCCATGTAGTGACCCCGGTTTGAGTCCTAGACTTGGCAGCCTCAAAGGGATGCTGGGTGTGCCCAAGATCCTGAGAGAATAGAGGAGGAGGGATTGTGGCATAGCTGTCCCCATGGAGGGTGATTTCTTGCTTTCGGGCTCTTTGTTAAGCCAGTGCTCCATACCGTATAACAAAAATCTCTCATAAAAATAAATAAATAAATAAAAATAACTAGTGTGATTGAGGAACCAAATTTTATTTATTATTAATTTAAATATAAATACATGTTCAGCTCGGCTATGAGAATACTTTTTAGCATTTGGAACAACTTAGATATGGAATCTACTCTTTCAGTAAATTTTATGAATTCTAAATAAAGTTATTTCTAGTTAAAGTTTGTGTATGTTGTACATATACATTACATGCAAGATGTTGAAGACCTAAGTACAAAAACTATAAAAATACCATATTAATATCATCATTACATTTAATAAATACACAATTATACACATATTCATTGTGTATTATTTACATATTAAATAATGTTTTTTTTATATTGGGTTAAATATATATTTTGACTAATATAACTCATTATATCTTTTTTTTTTTTTTTGGAGACGTTTTTGCTATAGGGCGCGTGCGCTCGCCAGACAGACAGAAAGCAAGAAATTACCCCCCAGAGGGGATGGCCACACCACAATCCCTTCTCCTCCATTCTCCTCTTGGGATCTTGGGCATGCACGCACACGCGCTTGGCATGAGTTTTAAGCCACCAGGTCCAAGACGCGAACCGTGGTCGACTGAATGGGAGTCCAGCGACATAGCCATTACGCTAACTGCTGGTCCCCAAACTCATTATATCTTTTAATGTGACTATTAGGAAACTAGAAATTATATGTATAGACAGTACTAAATGTCTGTGGGCTACATTGCTCCAGAGCCAGTTTTAAATCCAAAAGAGTGAATCATTTTATTCTAGACATATTTTCTTAGGGGATTATGAAATTAAGTTTCAGCAGAAAATTGCATTGGATATTTTGAGTATACTAGTACAATGAATAGATTTGAAAGTAATATGATGGTTTAGTTACACATTAGACAAAGTGTCCACTTACCCTCAAGTGTTTTAGTAGTTGTTTATAATTGTCTTGGACAGGAACCAGCAGGTGTCATAGTGGTTAAGACACTGGACTTCCTCATGGCCAAGCACTGTTCAAGTCTTAGACCTAGTGGCTTGAAAATCACACCAGGCACATTTGCATGTGTGACTCACTTTCCCTCTCACTGTGTCTTTCTCCCTTTCTCTCCAGTGAGCCCAGGCACCCTATGGCAAAAACCTTAGAAACAATATCACCAAAAACAATTAATACCTACTCATGATGATATGTACTTATATCACTTTAAAAAAGTCTTTTTGTCAAACAAAATTGGACCTACTAGTATTGTTATTTTTCTCTGTTTTTCCTTTAAAATATGTTTTCTTCATTTATGATGGTGTGCATGTGCACACACCTGAGAAAAAGAGAGGGAGAAAGAGAAGCTCTCTCCACCAGGTCCGATCATGCAACAGTTTCCTCCCTCTAGTCCTCCAGCCTACCAGATCCTGGGAACATGCACATGAGCCTGGCATGTTTTACTTTTAAGCTGATCAGACTGGATTTTGAAGTGCCATAACCATGTAGGGCCCAGCTTCTCTTGAGCATCGTATTACTGTGACACTGCAGACACCTCATTCATACACACACCCCATCACCACCACCACCACCACCAGCAGCAATTCCTTTACTGGGATCAAGGGTTAAGAATGGTATCATTTCTTGGAACCAGCAGTTAGCGTAATGGCTATGTCACTGGACTCCCATGTAGTGGACCGCAGTTCAAGTCCCAGACCCAGTGGCTTAAACTCACACCGGGCACATGTGCATGAGTGCCCAAGATCCCAAGAGGAGAATGGAGGAGTAGGGATTGCAACGTGGCCATCCCCTCTGGGGCATGATTTCTTGCTTTCTATCTCTCTGTCTTCCTGGCGAGTACATGTGCCCAATAAGAAAAAACCTCTCCAAAAAAAGGGGGGAAAAAAAAAGAATGGCATCATTTCAGAAAACTAAAATTAATTTATTTCCTTCCCATATCATCCTTAACAAAAAAGAAGCCACACCTTTTTATACACATTGTCAAAGACAATCTAATCATTGAATACATGTATTTGTGTATGCATTAAATGTAGTAATCTGAGATAGTAATAAACTAAGAAGGTCACACAGTTTATCTGAGGGTGCTTCTTTACTGCTACTACTTATAATGTCTAAACCAATGGTTCTCACACTTTAAGATGCTTTAAAACCACCTGGAGCCACAGTTTATTCAGCCAGATCCTGGGCCCTGCCATGGCGACGCAGGCAGTAGAGTGCCACTGCACAGAGCAGGAGCCACGTAGAAGACCGTGTTTTGGATCTTGGCACTGAACACGTGCACGTGGACCTGACTGGCTGGAAGGGGGTGCAGAGAATCATCTTGTGACAAATCCTTGTCAAGGGTGCCTGTATCACATGTACTCTCTCCTTCTCTCGAGAAATAAATAATGTTAAAAAATAAGTCAGTTTCTGATTTAGTAAATTTGGCGAATTTGCATTTCAAAAATTTCTCAGCTGAAGCTGCTGGTCTGGGGACCTTTAGGAATCAGCCTTAAGAATTTGAAGTTTTGTTTTGTTTTGTTTTGTTTCTTTGTTTGCATCAAGCCAAACTAAATTTAGTACACTCTGTTAAATGTGTGAAGTATAGGTGGTTAAAAAAAAAAAAATCTCTTGAGCCAGCCCTGTAGCCAGCTTGGTTAAGGAGGGCCCAGTCTCGCATGGCTGACTGTAGTTGGCATCCTGGCCCTGGCAGCTAAAACAATGCACCAGATGTGGTTGCATACATTTCTAAAATCCCAACAGGATGGGATGAAGGCAAAGGGATTGTAGCATGACTATGCTCTGGTGGAAACTGCTTCTCCCCTCCACCTCACTCCCTGTTTCTGTCTGACTTTGGTGAGCACATGCATCCTTGGACAGTTTTTAAAAATGTATTTTTTAACTTTTCATGCTGACCTAGTTTAGCTAGTCTGTGCTGACCCCTCAGTGAAGGTACTGTGGACTGGAAGACCGGGTGAACACAGAGTAGTAGCTGAGGAACTCTGGCGACAAACCGAAAGGAGACGTTATGACTGGAATACACCATTTGTCATTGGTTTTCCATATTCGCTTTAGTCCCCCTATCCCAAACTATGAGAATGATTTGATAGCCCCCTTCATATAGGACTGGTATGACCCAGGATATAACTCAATGCCCAGGACACCTAAATAAATATTTATTATTAATGGAGTGGCCCAGAATCACCAACTACTGTAGGAACCTACCAATACATATTTTGCATACATGTAACTTGGAAGAACGTCTGTTATTTTATACTGCCTTTTTCTTTTTTAATTTGCCAGATGAGATGTGCACTCACTGAAGAGAGAGACAAAGAGAAAGAGAAAATGAGAAAGCTTGGCTTTACTCCAAGCTTATTGTATCAGAAACACACAGACCTATTTTAATGAATCCTCTGGGTAATACTAATGCAGGCTAAATTTGAGAACCACTGCAATGAGGAATGGTCATGCCATAATTCTTTCTCCATTGCTCCCCCTATTTTGGATTGGGTAGCCACCAAGTCTACAATTCTGAGCACGGCCGGCCATGTGGGAATCCAGAGCTTTAACCACCACACCACCTGCCAGCCCCCATCTTCTTAGCTATTGCTCATACTGTTTCTTTGTGCAAATACCTTCTTTCCCCTCTTCTCATTGCCTAT